TCATTTCATGCCATCTTTAATACTAATGCAAATAATTAATTTGTAATGCATTATTTTACATAATATTATACAATATTATTATGAGTTTTGTAGATGATGTTATGATGAACGTGCCAGAATAGGGTATTTTATATAAATAATACAAATAGAAATAATGGAATCTGAGGGTGCAAGAAATCTAAATATTGAGAAAATCGCCTTTAGAGTTGTCTAAATGAAGTTCTTAGCCATGCATATTCCCAATCAAAAATTAAGTTTTGATATATCTACGGTAGGAAATTTACAAAATATCTTCATGGAGCATGATCTTTACTTAATATCCTAATGATTTTTGGCATTAAAGAAAAATCTATAATTTTGACCCATACAATGTATTTTTGGCTATTGCTACAAATATATCCGTGCTTCTTAAGACTGGTTTTGTGGACCAGTGTCACATATCTAGGTCATGTGAACTACCTTACAAAAAAATGGATTTGAGCATTTCCCCAAATCTAGCCAAAGTACAAAAAACCCCCCTTAAAATGAGAAATGAGTGGTTGAACCCTTCAAAAACACATACAGACTGATCAGAGCGTTCTACAACTGTTCAGATCTGGATCTTTCCAGTCTCACTCAGCCCTGCTGACCTTTGACCCACAGTTGCTGGGATCATGCCCCTATGAGGGTGGCTGTGGGTTGAGTGGCGACAGGATCCCGCTATAGCTGTGCCGTCCTAAACACTTCCATATGAGCGTCCATCCTAAACCATGGGAAAAAGTAGCTTGGGTCAAAAAGTCCATCTAAACATTGTAAAATGTCTCTTTTTATTATTAGTAGGTCTTGCTGTGAAAAGCATCACGGCTACTACCGATTATGTTTTTAAACCCTTAACCCTAAGTATTCAGTTCTGGCGCATAATCTTTCCCACACAGACATTTCCCCCCACATTTCAATTGAATATTTCCCCCCACATTTCAATTGAATATTTCCATAGTATCACTATATAAGAAAGTGCAGTCATTTAATGCCTCATTAAAACGACTCTCAACAATCACTGGTTAAACTCTCATCATCTGTGCAGCCACTTTCAAAAAATAGCATCTTATATTACACGAAAAAAAAGAGGGAAAAAAGTCTCCCGAGGGGGAAGCAACCCCACCAGGACAGAACAATGGCGTTCCTCTCCTGAGTCCGTGATTGAATGCTGCCAGGATTCAAGTACAAACATTCCAGCGTACAAAGGGAGCAAAGCCAGGAGGGACGGGAACGGGGGAGAGGGGGAGCGCAGGTGAGGAGACAAGTCTGAACAACACCAGTGAGTGACAGTCTACTGTATCATATCTGATACGCACATTTCCAGTGCCTCAAAATGATCTACGTGATCAAAACTTGGCTGAAAAACCTGTTGTACGCAATCATGCCTTCCGTCATCTGACTGATAGTTTATCATTTTAGCAAGAGAAAGTGTAAAAACGTGGTTCATTGTATTTTGCTGTGAAATCTCATTATCAGTGAATTGCATTGCATTAAATGCTTTGAAACTATAGAGTTTTGATCATAAAATTAAGTATTTAACTACGATCTCACTAAGACATATGATTGATAGATTTAGAGTGAAATTTTTTTTTTATCTTTTAAGCATCTACTATATTGTTATAACAATCTCATTGATTTATATTACAAATAAAATTGAGGTGTTTTTCCTCAAGTTTAAACTCCTTGTTCTCACTATATCATACTATATGAGTCATAAAAGTTTGATGTATCAAATATGATACAAAGCATAAAACACATATGCAAACATTTTTATTTAAAAAAAAAACATCTTGCATAAAGTTTCAATATACTGTTTCATTTTTAATTTTCATTATTTCATTTGATATGTCACGCTGTACAGGGTTAAACATGCATATCTGAAATACATGATTGTAAGAGATATGTGAACTTGAAATGTCCACCAACAAACCACAAAAATGTTATTATGGGTAAAGGTGGAACAATAAATTAAACCGCATTAATATCTCCATGTTTCTCCAAGACAGCAATGAAAATAAATAGAATAGATAAATAAAGTGGTCTCCACTAGAGATAAACTGAAAATGGTTGTAAACCTAAAATTGTCTCTCTAAACACAATTCAAAATATGATCATTTCTCCTCAAACTCTCCCAAATCACTTGAGCTGCTATTCACATTCATTTATAGCTCTATACTCTAAATACCAAGTGTTTCGTTAGTGGCTATTTTTATTTCTCTTAAACATTTTTAAGAGAAACATCAAAGTTGATGAGCTCTTGAATGAGCAACCTCTGAGCAAATTCAAACAGACAAAACAACAGACGCCACAATAAAAGCAGCTGCACATGTTCGGCCTGCATGTTCTCCCAGCAGAATCCCCTGTGTTTTTTCAATCCGCTTGACAAAAGGCTTGATTATTAGGCAAACTGGTTAGCTGGGCAGCTTTTGTTGACTGGCAACATCCAACAGACTCTTTTGTGTGTTTCCATAGCTTTTCTTGGTATGCTTTGATGCAGTTCCCCTTTTGTAAAAATCCATACAACCTTACAAGTCATTCTCACAGGAGCAGAGAGACAGAACTGAAATCAGTAAACATGAAAAAACGGGGTGGACTGTTGAATTAGACTTATGTTTAAATACAAAGCAAATGTTACAGATAAGTGAGAGATGACTTATGCCATGACATTTAACACGTGGGTTATTTACAGAGATAATATGGAGTCTCTGTGACGCTGTTGGAAACACAAGGTATGCCTCACTGGAATGCCCTTTAGGGCGTCTCTCTCGCCCTCTGATGAGAGCAGTCACCTGACCGGCCCATGTGCACCGAGCTAAAGAAAGTAAACATGGGAATTTTTCAGGTGGTCAGGTGGACGTCTGTTTACATGGATATTTTCCCCTCGCTCTTATACTTCTATCTGAGAGAAGAATATCTTTTGTTCGTAATGGGGATTTGAATAGTTGATTCTTAAAATATCACATAAGGTCCACCCATTATTGAATATATGGTTACACCCAAACTTAAAGGAATCGCTCACCCAAAAATGGAAGTTTGCTGAAAAATGTATTCACCCTCAAGATATCCAAGATCCAGATGAGTTTGTTTCTTCATCAGAACAGATTTGGAGAAATGTAGCACTGCATCACTTGCTCACCAATGGATGCTCTGCAGTGAATGGGTGCCGTCAGAATGAGAGTCCAAACAGCTGATAAAAACATCACAATAATCCACACCACTCCAGTACATCAGTTAATGTCTTGTGAAGCAAAATGCTGCGTTTGTAAGAAACACATCCATCATTAAGACGTTCTAACTTCAACCATTGCTTCCGGAGAAAATACAAGTCCTCTCTCCATAAAGTCATCTGCTGGATGCAAAGATCAAGCACCGTTTACAAGCCAAAACAGTTCTAACAAATACGTCAGTGGATATTGACGTGAGAGGACAACAGGTGATGGACTTTTTCACTGGAGGAAGTATTATGGACTCATATTTTAGCCAGAAGTGACGGTTTAAAATTAAAATGCCTTGATGTATTTGTTTCTAACAAAACACAGTTTTTCCACTTCATAAGATGTTAATGGATGAACTGGAGTGGTGTGGAATATTATGCTTTTATCAGCTGTTTAGACTCTCATTCTGACGGCAGCCACTAAGTAAATTTTCTGCACATTTTCATTTTTGGGGGAACGATCTTGGCCAAATCATGTCAGTTTAAGAAGTACTAAAAGCAAGAAAATTCTACATTTATTACATCATTTCAAATGAAGCCAAAACTAGTATAAACCCAGAGAACAAGATTTTTCTTTGGTTCAGACAAAAGCCACATTTATGACTACAAGGATCAAGACTCCAACTCTACAATCTATAAATAAAAATAAAATTGGTTTCTGCGATGTTCCGCAGATGTTGCGGTTTGTTTTATTTTTGGGTCGCACAGATATTTCTTTATGTGGTTAAATGAGATCTCTATTAAACTTGTTTTCGTGTCATAAGAAAAATCAAATATTATATTATACATAAATATTCAAATAATGCTGCTATCAGAAATCTCTGCATGGCTTCTTGCTCCTTTGGATATTACTAAAAGAGAATAAAATAAAGTTTTAAAATAACTCTATTGCCTACCGGCATAAAACTTCAAGCAGGCCCTCAGTGTGGGAAGTGAATGAATGGTGCAATGCCTCCCCCTTACGGCCGTTACAAAAACACATCAAAATTACGTCAAAAAATGGCCTGTTTATACAGGATTACACAATCATGCAGTACTAGTTACAACACTGGATTGGCAGGTCATGTTTCATTCCAGTTTATTGGTGATTCAGAACAAATGCATTGTTTTAAAGAGGAAGCTCCTACCTTACGTAACACAGCTTTTATATAGGCAGGTAAAAATAAAAATTGCATGTTACTTGCATGATGAACATGTTTAAGCGTTGTAACTACTTTTGCATTATATCCTTTCAGTTGTTATAATGCATAATATTATTTGAATGACTAATTTCTTCAAATTAAAACTTAAAAATAATTTATATGAATTTATTATTCATTTCCTGTAGAAATAAGTGATTTAGTCCCTAAAGCAGCAGCAAGATGCAAAGCAAGACGTCCAAGACACCAAACGTCATGAACAATCCCCAAAAAGCCATTTTATTGAGAGATCAGATGACATCGCATCCTTGCATTGGTGATCAGAATTATTACTTGGCATTGTGTAAGTTTGCATATATCAGTGAAATCAAACCTGCGGTCTCTGGGATAGACCTTTGGCAACTTTCAAATGTAAACCAAACATAACAGTTATCCCAAAATCAAACAAAAACAAAGGAAACAGAGTAGTAAATCACAGAATGAGTCATGCTCCCATGATTCTTAGTCAGCACACGTTGTTCTGGAGAAAGAACAAACATCATAAATCCTCAATAACACAATAAAGTAGAATTGCTTTTAGATAACATCTTCATTACTGCTTTTTTTTTTATTTACTTAAAATAAATCACTTTTTTTTTTTTTTTTTTTTAAATGTACCCAATATCCATCTTTCGCACTGCTTCAATTTGCTTCATTAAAGGTAATTTTCAGGTGTACATCATCTCAGTCATGTGCGACATCTTGGGGATGTAAAGGTAATATTCCATGTATCCGGAAAGGTCCTCTATCGTGATGTCATCCACGTAGGCGCGGGCCTGTTCGGAACAAGAGCGAGGGGAGCTGGACATCCCAGTGGAAGTTCTGCTGTTAGGCGAACTGTCCTGCGGGCTGGGAAGCTTCCGCTCACATTCGGAGATCACATCTCGAAGGCCGGTGAATGAGTACACCTCGACCCCCTGCCAACCGGGACACCGGCATTCCTGCTGCCCACACGGGCACTGACCGGCCTCCTGCAACTTGGACAGAGTTTGAAAGTCAGATGGAACAGCATTACCTTTGCCCGCCTCCTGAGATCCCGGCCCACATCCTAAAGCGGGCCTGTTTTCGGGAGCGCTCTCGTCATCCGAGGGCATTCTGGGACTGAGGGGCGATTCCTGACCCTTTGGAGAAGGGAGGTGGGTTTCATAGCCGACGACACCGAATACAGTGGAGCACGGAGATGAGAATGCTACTTCGTTCTTGACAGCGCCGGTGTCGTCGGGCTCTGGCGGGGTCTTGTGTTTGAGCTGTCCAGGAGGGGGAGACATTTTGCTGCAGTAGGTGAACTTCGGAGGATGAAGGATTGGCGATTTTGATCGTCGCCGTCGCTGGCTTCTCACAACTCCTCTGGATGACTTTCTTGTGCATCTAAAGTAAAGAAAACAGGCTAAAATATTAGTATAAAGTATAGCAATGTGTGATTGTTGTAATCCTATAAAGTCTATTTGATACATGAATCTCAAAAGCCTTTACATGTTAAAAAAAATGCTGAAAAACTTAATGTACTACATGCCTTCTGTCATTTGATTGAGTTTATACTTTTTTTTAGCAAATAAAAGGCCTTTTAGCATAATTGTAAAACTGTCCATCTTCAGCACGTGCTTGAAAATCTTTACTGATTTTTATAAAGTAAACATAAGAATAACTTTTATATTGTTGGTAATATTCTGAGATGAACATTTACTGGACTTAAATCTCGTGGACTCAGTCATGATTGTATTGCACTGTATTATACGTTTTGAAACTACAGAGCTTTGATAATAAAAGTATTTAAATATAATCTTAAAAAAATCATACTGAAATAAAGAGAGACAACTGATGTGCATTTAATGCTAAGTAGTCAGATATACTATTCTACAGATATTCTAAAGATGTCATTGATTTACATTACAAGCTATTACAATTTCATCTTACTTTTTTGGCCTTATAAAGAACTTCATCTGCACAACTGCATATTTTTGCTCAGTTTAGGCCTTGGGAGTAACATTTTTCATTCATATTCTCACTATATAATATCATATGTGCCATAAAATCCTGATGTATCAAAAATGATGCTCAACGGAAAACGTAATCCTGTAAAACTGTTCCATTTAAAAGCAGAGTTTTCTGACTATTCTTTCTTATGTCAGGCTTTACAGGGTTAACTAGGTCAGAATCCTAAAGCGGTCCTCACCCAAGCCAGTTATCTTTCGTGGAGCTCATCTTGGATTTGGCTCCTTCCGGGGTGCTCCGAGCAACCAATCTGGAAGCCAAAGACTCAGAGACGCGGACTGCGGTTGTGGAACTGGAAAGGAATACAGTACGAAAAAAAAAAAAAGTGAGCATCCATTTCACTTGTCAGACAAACTAGCTGAAACAAAATCAAAAGACGACAAACCTTTCAGCATCCACACGCAGTTTCTTAAAAGCGGTCTGAAGTGTCTCTTCCTCACACTCCTTTCCTACTTTCTCCACAGCAGCCATTATGTTAGACAGCCTTAAAACTGAAACCAAAACCATAGAGAGTAATACAAGTGAGCAGCAATAGCAAACCCAAGTATAGTTATTATAACACTCAGTAACTTTATTTTAACCCACTCAGGTACGTTTAACCATTAACATAAGCTTCAAACTATTAGAAGAATATAATATAGAAAACCCGCAGTGGATGAAACTTTATTCGAGAATTTAGAATAACCTCTGCATAGAGGTTATAAAGAACTCATTGAGTATCATGTTATAAAATACAGACTTACAAGCACAACCTATTATTGTAATTTCCTTTATCATTCAAATGATCACAATGGAGTAGTTGACAAGTTGTGATTTATGTTATGAAACGCTGATCACATGAGCACTTCGCATTATGAAGCTTAGCTTAGCATTCTGTTCATCGCAGTCGGCGCGGTTTGCATTCTGTGTCTCTTTGCTCGACCAAAATATATAAGCAACAGAAACAGACCATTAGAGAAATATACTTACGGCCAAAGGACCCAAATCCGTGTAAACCCCGGACATACAGGAGTTTGTTTCTCCTGTTATGAGGGTCTGTGTTCACAAAGCTAACAGGCTAACGTTAGCCAGCCAGTGTATAGAGACGATATATGTGAGAAAACTCGCTTTAAACCGCCCGATGACGGGCATAACGCGATCTAGATATTACGTCTGTACGGTCAATAATCACAAATAATAGAAGAAATCAACAAATCATACACAATATTCTAGATTTTTCCCTCGCTAGTCTCTTGTTTACACTCGACCACTCAGACTCAGAGTGACTCTGCAACAACGCAGATCTTGATGACGTAGTACACGTACACATAAACGTCAGCAGATTACGAAAACGCTTATAGAAGCTTCTCGTGTTGTGCCCTCTATGGTTGTGCCTTTTAATTAATTCATTTTTTTTTAAATGATGCAATATATTTTGTCCAGATGTAATATTTTAATGTATTGTTTTATTATATTTTGTTCCATTAATAGATGGATCTCACATTAGATCTCATATTAATAATCTCGCTGGACATTCGTAATTCGTACACTAAAAAGTATAATCATTTAAAGTAGATATTATATAGATTGGTATCTGGGAAACAGATGGAAAATACAAGTATTTAAACAAATAAGCATTATTTAGTAATCGCAAAAGAAAAAAGAAAACACAAGACAATGCGGTCCTACATTTTCATTTCCCTTAATATAGCCTATTGTATGAACATTTTAATTAATTAATTAATTGATTGATTTTGTAAGTATTTAAAGAGGCCATATTCACAACTAAATTAAGTGAATTTCAATTTCCCTACTTTATTTTAGCAGCTTATACAGGTGCATCTCAATAAATTAGAATGTCGTGGAAAAGTTCATTTATTTCAGTAATTCAACTCAAATTGTGAAACTTGTGTATTAAATAAATTCAGTGCACACAGACTGAAGTAGTTTGCCTTTGGTTTTTAATTGTGATGATTTTGGTTCACATTTAACAAAAACCCACCAATTCACTATCTCAACAAATTAGAATATGGTGACATGCCAATCAGCTAATCAACTCAAAACACCTGCAAAGGTTTCCTGAGCCTTCAAAATGGTCTCTCAGTTTGGTTCACTAGGCTACACAATCATGGGGAAGACTGCTGATCTGACAGTTGTCCAGAAGAAAAAAAAATGCTAGGAAATGTATTTAAAAATTGTCCAACCTTTTCTCCCATTTTTAAAATAGGTAGCCTATTTTAACCCATTTACAAATACAGCCAGGGGCCAAAATAATAATAATAACAATAATACAAAAAATCTGGTATTATGTAAAAATGTAACTGACCACTAAACTATGACCACTGTATACAGTTTTTCCCCTGCTAACAGAAACAAGCACTGCACGCAGCTTAATGGCGTCCTCGAATTGTCTCGGGCGTCCTCGAATTGTCTCGGGCCTCCATATGCGCACCTTGCTAAGCCTGTTTGCACTTGAAAACAGATTGGAGTTGTGAAGAAGCCAGACACAAAGTGCATCATAACGATGGAATTTATAGCGAGGCTGCCATGGAAGAACTGATTGCATTACTGTACAAAAAAATATAACCAGATGCAAAGCACATCAAAACCAGATCCATGGGGAATGGAAAACGTTTGCTGAGTTCTTGTTTACTCTTTTCTCCACATGTGCATGAGTTTATGTTTGGAGAACGCCATAGGAAGCCCTAAAACCTCAGTGTCTGGTTCTGACCGTTAAATGTGGCAGATGTGTGCAGGATCTCACACACAGACCACGTCTTTTGCCACAAATACTTTACATAACAATTAAAAATGCATTTTTATCTTCCACTTTCCTTGTTCTTCTCTCCATGTTTGGGGTTGCTCTTGCAGCAAACGTAATGATGTCTGAAGAGAAATGGACCGTGTAATTCTAAGCCCAGCTTGTTCAACTGTTTAAATTGCAATGCCAAGACTTTTAAAGTCCTTCATAAATAAAACCATGTTTACACATACAGTTACTGGACAACATTTGCTGGACTATAAATATTATACAGTTTGTTAAGGCAAATATTTAGAAGTTAGAAAGTGGGACCTTTCCATGTACAGAACGAAAGAAAGAAAGATTTACATGTTATGTATGTACTAGGAAACTCCAGGTGTGAAAAACTTGTTGCATCTTTCCCAAAAAGACTCATGGCTGTATTAGATCAAAAGGGTGCTTCTACTAAATACTGAGCAAAGGGTCTGAATACTTAGGACCATGTGATATTTCAGTTTTTCTTTTTTAATAAATCTGCAAAAATATCAACAATTCTGTGTTTTTCTGTCAATATGGGGTGCTGTTTGTACATTAATTAGGAAAAAAATTAACTTAAATTATTTTAGCAAATGGCTGCAATATAACAAAGAGTGAAAAATTTAAGGGGGTCTGAATACTTTCCGTACCCACTGTATATATGTATATGTTTTTAATGCTTAGGCATTGTCAACTTTTAGTTTAAACTTATTTTATTTGTTTATTTGTTTATTTATAAGTTTTGTGTTATTCATTTACAGTCGGAGACTTTGAAATAATGTCTTATGATGTAAACTTATATACATGGGTTATATTATTATTTAAGTAGTGTTATATATAATGCCTTGGCAGCATCAAAATTACATTATTATTTACAAAATCTGGGACTTTGAAATGATCTCTTATCATGTAAACTTTTATATATTCTTTATATTATTATTTAGTTAAGTAATGTAATATGCTGCTTACAATGTTTTAACATTTGACAAGCTTTTCACCACAAATTAAACATCTTGAATATGTGGTTTTGTTATGGTTAATATTAGTGCTAGACTTTGTAAGATTGATACAGTGTAGCCTAATTAGTGACTTCCGTTTATACAATATTATATAGCTATTTAGATCGAGGACAGTGTGTTGTAGTTTGCAGCTGTGGCCTGCAGATGGCGCTGTAGTGCAAGTTAAACTCATTTGTCCTTGTGAAGAGGAATCTTGGCTTGTAATCTGTCATGTGTTGAAAAGATGATCTGTTCTCTGCAGTAATCAGGAACGAGGTTCTTCCTGCTCCAGAAAGTTCCTCACGTTATTGAATTTGATCCCATATATCACATTACATTGTTACGCACAATCAGGAATCCTGGGCTTCAGAATTACAGCTGATGGAGGACAGCTATGCCTAGCTTGAAAGATTGACACTAGCACAATCATTATGGGTCCCAATGAAGCGTTTCGAGGTTATCTGTTGTGTAATTTCCACGAGTCCAGGTAAGGACACACGCGGCATTGTGGAGCCCCTGAGCTTCCCGGATCCTTCATTCTAGTCGAAACGTTTGTGAAAACAAACTTAAGCTGTATAACCCATCATTTCTCAATTTATAGAAATGTCAAAGCATGGCGCATACAGACTCTATTCATGAACACAATGGCGGCCTTTTCTCCCAGAGCTGTTGTAGATTGTTCTGGTCAAAAGAGCCTAACCTCGAGTCTATTCTCTGGTCTTTAGATATTCTTTGGCTCACATCCCTCCTTCATTATAAATCTAGAGATTTTAAGAGATTTTTTCTAGCCTATAGTAATACCACACCTCTCCTTGCACAATTTGAGTTATCATTTACATCCAGTGTGCAAAGTTTTGAAAAACCCCTATCCTTATGTATGAGCACCAGTATAGTTTTTACTTCAGCAGGCATCGCTAATGAAATAAAACTGAAGCCCCAGGCACTGTATCCAGTTGGGCTAGTATGAGGTTCCTGTCTGTTACTCGGGTGTTAGTTTCTGCATACCTAATAAATTATTTATTAAAGACCTTCATTTTATAGAATTACAGAGCTCCAGGTAAATAAAGACAGGGAACAGTTACTATGAAAACATCAGAGCAAAAGAAAGTGACTTAACTGCGCTACATGGACAATTTCAACCAAACCTTCTGCCCTACCTATTCAGTTATACTATTTTTGGCTGCTGAGCTACTGGCTATGCGAAATGAATATTAAATGAAAGACTGCATTTTACAGGCATGTCCTCGACATAATCAAAATTCATAATTCACTTTTGACTGTTTTGTGCTTGTTTCCATTGGGAGAAATATTGATGGTCATGCTTTGCAGACAACAGGAATGGGAAAATATTCACTCTTGATCTGTCTGCTAAAGCTTGATTATGGCCTTCCAGTTGTTTTTAAAACGTATATGCATTTTTGAGAGACCTCTTTGAAATATTACCTGTATAATACTAGCTCAGCGCTGTCAGAATATGATCTGATATTAACAAAGCTGAATTTCCATTCTGTTCCATGCTTTCAACAAACATGCCAGTCACCAAGCCAATAATGTCTGTGTAAAGAGCAAATAAATATATCAATCAATCAATCAATCAATCAATACAATACAATCACCACAGAAATAGTCCATGACATGTTTTATTTTTTATATTTTTATTTTTTCCCTAAACTGATTTTGTTATATTTAATTCATTTATTCATAATATTTATTTAATTTAATTTATTTATTTATTATTGAGGTTGTAATGTTATGTCTCTGTCCTGGTTAAAGCATAATTGCAATAAAAAAGCCAGAAATCATTATTACCTGATCTTTCCATATGCAATAGCGCTCAAAACTCATTTAAAATGCAATTTGAGTATTATGTGTCTTGCTGTATCAAGTGTAAATCAAACTGGTTTATTAACATGCTGCGACAAAATCAAAGTTATACCACAAGTAATATTCTGCACAATTTCCATGCTATTAACATGACAAGCAATAAAAGATATATATATATATATATATATATATATATATATATATATATATATATATATATATATATATATATATATATATAAATAATAAATACAACATAACTAACCCTTAGTAAGAGCAAAGTTAGGTCACATGGTCACATTAACCTGTATATTGAATACTGGAGTATTTCCACTATTCTGTGCTATAGTGAACAAATGTTGGAATGTTCTCCAACCCTTCAAACAAGTGGCTCCTAAGAGCCCACACACCCACAGCTGCCGGTCAGACCTACGGGAACACGCTCCTGTACATGTGAGTGTGCACGCTGGGCTGGGGTGTAGCAGAAAGGCTTATTGACTCTGAAAGGGGACCTGCTTCCTGAGAGGAAAGAGATTCCCACAGGAATACACTGCCGCAAAGAGGAGGTACAAGGAAACGAGAGCCAGAGAGATGAGGTTCTGCTCTGGACTTAGATGTTTCTCCCTTGAAATCTCATTTCGGCCCACAGGAAAGGAAAATCACAAATGGGATCTCTAATATCTTGTTTCTCCTGGATAGAGTGG